TTTACGGGTTTACGGGTCCAAGCGTTTAGGGGCTTAGGGTTACGGCATTCCTTGCCTCTTTAAAGACCTATTTCCTCCAAAATCCTGAGCTAGGTGTGGCACACGAGTTTTAAGTACTGTACTATAGTAGGCGATAGCACCCATTACCCTTGGATGAAAAAGAGGCAAGCTTGCACGTGTGTAGGGCAACTGTTTCACAGACGAAGCCGACGGTCAAACTGTCGCGCGTTGGCGTCAGCTACGTCGCCCAATACAAAGAAGCTGGTACAGGATGCCAATGAAGGCACTGGCAGGGTTCAGGGTTTAGGGTTTAGGGTTTGGGGTTCAGGGTTTCGGGTTTCGGGTTTAGGGTTTAGGGTTTAGGGTTTAGGGTTTAGGGTTTAGGGTTTAGGGCACGGGCACACTATAGGTTGCCCCAACTTCCAGACCGAGAACATGCACTGTGCACCTCTGCCTGTACACGTATGTGCCTCTACGCGAGAAGTGCCGCAGTTTGCCCTTCTGAAGGCATCGAAAGCCGTCAAAAACCTTACAACCCACACACACACACACCCAAAAGTGCATAAGAAACACATATTTTAAAAAGAAGCAAAAGCAAGCACTGCCAGGAGGTGGGAGCGCTCCACATGCAGAGCCCTCAGAGCCCATGGATGCAACGTGTTCCCCAAGACTTTCAAGAAGGGGGGTTTGGGGTTTTTTTTCGGGTGGTTTAAGTCCCTTTAAGTCCCTTTAGGGCCTTGAGGGTCTTTGGGGCCTTTTAGGGCCTTTTAGGGCTTCAAGGTTGCATATATGCGCTGCGTCGTGGTTTGGCCTGTACTCTTTGTTGGTGCTTTGAGCGGGGCGTGGGGGGGAGGGGGGGGTGGGGGGTGGGGATCGGGGAGAAGAGCAAGGGACCACCACCTATCCTCTGGGATGGGTTGGGGACAAGAGCACAAGAGTGGTCTCGTGCTTTCTTGAAGCGTGGCGGTCACGGCAAGAAGTGGAGCAGCAGGTGATGCCCAGCGCTGTTCCTCTGTTCATCTCAAAGCCGTGACCAAGGTGGGTGCAGGAAGAGAGCACGACGGCTTGAGAAGCTCCCCTCCTTTGCTTTTGTTTTGTTCCATCGCTGCCATCGCCTATGGCCATTGCTTCGATCTATCCTAAGCATTCAGCTTCAGCAAACCGCAAAATGAACTTCACTCAGATTCGGCATGCGCCCGCAGAAAAGTAGCTGCTTGATCTTGGGCACTCCATACTGAGTCTTCCCCGAGTGCCCTTGTACTTGTTGTCACAGACGTTTTCAAGAGAGCAACGTGCAGAATTGCTTGACAGGATTACCCGCACTCCTTCCTTACGCAGCCCCCCTTTACCCCCAGCATAAGAAAAGAACAACGCGGGGGAGCCCTGGTCATGTATGCCGCTAGCGACCCGCACCGCATGGAGAGCGTTCCCTTGAAAACGGGCTTGGAGAGCGAAGTGAGCACAGTGCGCAAGCGAAGCTTCCTCCCAGTAGGGGTCGCACGCGACCCCAAAAGGACCCTAAAGCTTTGGTCTACATCAGGCGCAGGTACAGCAGCTGCTGGCAAGAGCATCTGCGCAACACGTTTGAAATAGTGTAGGCTGAGGCTAGGTATTGCAGGTTGAGGTTGCAGGGCACAGCATCATATTTGTCTCTAAGCGCGTTTTGCTTCAGCTGAGTCAGATCTTCACACGTTGCCCACACTCTTGCTTCTCGGCGTGCCGTGTCCTAGATCCCTTGATCTTTCACCACTTGGCGGGATTTCCAATTGCAAGACCCGAAGGTGTTGAAGCTTGAAGGCAAGCAGAATTTGGGCGCGCGCGCGCGCGCGCGCAGGGCTCTTCAAGTATACACAGACGCGCAGAACGGACTCCTCTGAACTTCGACTAGTCTTTAGCATCCAAGACAAAGCAGTCTTGCATTGTTCTCATACGACCTTTCTTGCATTGTGGAGGTCGCCTCAGCTTCCCTACCTTCTTGATTGATTTTGCTTCCCCTCTTCTTGGGAAACCGCACACCTCACCCACACACTGACACTCCACTTGCACACTCAGTGTTGCGAAGGAGGAAGCTGGAATCCTGAAGCCGAATCAGCTCAGTAGAGCCCCCTAGAATGTAACAAGTATCAAGAACTCATGATGTGCTGAGCACATCCTCGGGCAGCAATGTCTCGGCAGCGAATTGCCGATCTTCATCGGGTGTCCAGCAGTCCTTCCCATCAGGTAAAGGGATGTAAAGGGGTCAAGTCCATTCTGCACCCTGTTCCTTTGTGAGCTTTGAACACCTGAAGTCGGCCACATACTGGGCATCCCAGGACATGCGTCTGAAGTTTGTCTGCACCATGATGGGCACCTTCAAGAGGCCTTGCAGGAGGGAGCGCCGTTCAGCTTCGGAGATTCCGGGAGCTTCAAGTCTTCTCCACGGTCGGGTCTAGAGTCAGCCAAAGCCTGATTTTTTTTTGAGATCTTTTCTAGGCCCAGGAGCCCCGCTATGGCCCCTGTTCGGAAAGTAGTTCCTGCCCGCACCAGACATTTTGGCCTCAGTTTTCGTTGCCGACCCCAACTCAGAGTTTGACATCCCGGAGCAAGCGCGCGCCCATGGCAAGATGCCACTGCGGACACAGCCGGACTCCGCTCGTGCAGCTCAGTTCGCTGGAGGTCAGGGGAGATGTTGACTCGAATGACCGCATGTCGTTTCCCATGTACGTGGTTCCGGCGGCGAAGCTGCTCGGAATGACCACAGTCCAAGCGCACGAGGATCTGAAGGCTTCCGGTGACATTGAGGTGTTCGACGAAAGCAAGGGCAACGCAGCTTTCGTTTCTCACCAGTGGGCCGGCAGGGGCCATCCTGATCCGGAGTTCAAGCAGATGCGTGTTTTGCAGGAGACCCTGCGGCAGATCCTTTCACGACAGGGCTTTATTGCCCCAGATTTTGTAACCGAAGTCAGCGCGCCAATGGCCAAAGGGATCTCCTACCAGGACTTCCAGTCCCGTCCGTTGTTCATGTGGTACGACTACTTCTCGGTGCCACAACGCGAAAAGCGAGCTTCCTTACACGAGGTTACTGATGAGAGTGATGGCAGCAACCAGGCCAAAGCCATCAACAGCATCCCCGCGTATGTTGCGAAGTGTCGATTCTTCGTCGCTCTTTGTCCCACACACGCATGTTATATACATTTATATACATTTATTTTAAGGGGCTGCGCCCATGGGCGAGCAGCGCAGGCAGAAGCGCGGGGCGAGCAGATCCGTCAAGGGTTTAGGGTTTAGGGTTTAGGGTCCTATGCCCGCCCTTTGGGGGGCATCATGCTCCTGATGCGCCCCCGGGGTCCCCTGATGCGCGCCTGGGGGTCCCGGGCTGAACCCGCTGATGCTCATGATGCGCGCGGGCATCATGGGGCATCCGCGCCCGTCCCATTTTTCGTGCCTCAACCCACGAAAACCGACCGGGCCGCCAAAGGTCGGCGGCACTGGCGTTCGGCCTAATTCTGCTTCGCAGAAGGCCGGGACGACCCGAGCTAAAAGGTCCGCCAATGCTCGGTCCTTGGGGACCTCGCGCTGCCCGATTTAATGGCTACCGCCAGTGCCGCCGACCCCAGACCCAACAAGACAGTCCTCTGATGTGCTTTGGGGTGGGGTGGGGGGGGGGGGGGGGGGGGGGGGGGGGGGGTGGGGTGGGGGGGGGGGGGTGGGGGGTGGGGGGGGGGTGGGGGTGGGACCCCCGTCCCACCTACCCTCCATCACCCCCCCCCCCACCCCCACCCCCCCCCGCAAGCCCCCCCACCCCGCCCCCCAACCCATCACCCCTTCTGGCCCCCAAATCCCCTTTAAAAGGTGGGGACGGGGTTGGGGGGGACTGGGCCGGAGGTTGGGGGGCGCGTAGGTGGGGTAAGGGTGGGGGGGCACAGGGGGTGGGCGGTGGGGGGCTGGGACTTGGGCGGTGGAGTACAGCTTAGGTTCAAGGGGGGGGGGGGGGGGGCTGGGCCACAGGGGGGGTGGGGGGTGGCGGGGTAGCGGGGTGGGGGGGTGGGGGGTTGGGGGGGGGTTGGGGGGGGTGGGGCAAGCGGAGCAAGAGAGGATTGGAGCCCTTTAAATCATCTGATCAGGGGACCATGATGGGGCCATGAGCCACTAGGGGCCAGCAAACGAAGCGGGCATGCTTTAATGGGCCAGTCCATGGGGGGGGTGGGGTAGGGGAGCATTGGGTCTTCACTGACGCCGCCCCCGGCTGGGGTCGGCGGATATACATATATATATATATATATATATATATATTTCAAGAGATACATATATATATATATACATATATATATATATATGTACACACACATAATTACATGCGTGTGTATATGCATATGTGTATACGTGTATGTGTATATGTATATGTATATATATATATATACATATATATATATATATATAATGCATATATATTCGTGGAGATGTATATGTATATGTATATGTATATGTATCGCAAAATTTGAATGCGGCTTGAAGGGAAATATGCCCGCTGCAGGCAGAGGATCTGTTCGGCGTCAACTTGAACTCTTACCTTACCACGACAAGCGCAAGGTGCTCTGCAAGACCGTGCCCTGGCAGACTCAGACAAGAGCGCATGCTGGTCCTTTGAGGCCATGAACGGATAAATGTATGACCTGACTCCGGGGTTCTTCGAAGCTGCGCAAGCGAAAGCCTACAGCCCCGCGCAGCCACGGTGGCTCAAAAGTGGGCTGCAACCTGCTTCCCTTGCCTCCAGTGATGGTGACGTTGTCTAAGAATCTCAGCTACATGACGGCCATTTTTGGCTGTTCTTTCCTTTGTTTCAAGTTGCAAGTAAGGAAACGGCCTGAACGACATGGAATCGATGCCATGTATTGCCAGGCTCCTCCTCGTCCTCCTGGGACTGGCAGTCTCCGTGCGTGTTGAGTTAGCTGATGGCGCTGATTTGATCCTGCACAATGACTAGCACGGTTTTGCGGGGCAGGGTCGAGAAAACATCATGTTAAGCGTCGAGTAAACATCAAGTTAAGACTTCAGTGCGAATCCATCCCCAGTTGAGCCCCTCTCCAGACTGTCCGCTATGCATTTTGGGGGCCCCGCGCAACACATTTGGTGTGTTTGTCGGACCCCGCAAAACGCATTGTGTGTTTGATGCGTTGTAAGTGGCGGGGCTTCCCGCAATGCATTTTCCCATTTTGGCACCGGAGGTAAGGCGGTGGCGCCTCCGGAGGCTTCCCGTGCATTTTCCAGTCGCCGCAAAATGCACCAGGCCCTGCCTGAACTGTCTACGGGAAGGAAAGCTTCAAAAGACTGTCCCTAAACCCTGAACCCCAAGCCCTAAACCCCTAAACCCTAAACAGGCAAACCCTACGGAATACGAACAACTATCCTAAAGCCTGAGCGCCAAGCCCTAAATCCCTGAACAACCCGTAAACCCGAAACACCTAGATTGTCTGGGCCTTGCAGACCCAAGAATAAAACCCAAACCGTAAAACCTATATTTTTTGTCATGCAAGCAACCCTGAGGAGTACGAAACACTGTCCCTAAACCCTCAACCCCAAGCCTTAAACCCCTAAACCCTGAAAGTGTCTGTTTTTTTTCTAACAAGCGAACCCTAAAGAGTACGAAAAACTGTCCCAAACACTGCAGGCCAAGCCCTGAACCCCTAAACAGCCCATAAACCCCAAACACCTAAATTGTCTGTCTGGGCCTTGCAGCCCAAAAGAAACACAGAACCAATCCCGAAACCCCTGCATTGCATGTTTTGGCTGGCAGGGTAGGTGACATGCTGTATGCAAATGGACCCATTTTCGGCATCGCAGCCTTCGCATTTCAAATCAGATCTCCATCTTATGTTTCTCTTCTTCCGTGATGAATCGTGGACGATCACGAACCCGATCTCCGTCTCAAGAAACTGCTGACTCATCTGCGCGGAGGGCGCAGTCGGAATTGTCACCATCGCTAAAGAGATTGCTTGCCGAAACATCAGTCGGCAATCTGTCGGAGGAAGATCTTCTCTCAAAAGGCATTTTGCATACGAGAGATTTGGCATACGGATGGGAAGCAGAAGAGTTGATCAGCTTTGACAATCCAGATGCATGGCTTCGCTTGCACAAACAGGCTAGCCAGCAAGCTGAAAGACGAGCAGCGTCGACAGCTCGACTGGCGCATGTGGTTGTAAGTGTGGCTCCACGACAAGCAAAACAATGAAGACCGAAGACAGTCTTTGGCGCGCAGCCTGCTGCTTATCCTGTTGCATAATATAGCCCATTCCACCAAGTCCAAGGAGGTGGAAGCCTGCCCGGGGCCCATGATCTCAACTCTTCGGGGAATTTGGGAAGTGAAGTTGACATCGTACTCGGCCGACACTTTGCGTACTGCTCTTGCAGCATGGCGAAGGTGGTCCGCCTGGATTTTAAAGCAAGCACCGCCCATTCCGCCCCTGCCGGCGCTGGAAGTTCACGTGGCCTTGTTCGCGCGACAAGTTTTTCTTGGAGCAGATGTTCACCGGCGAAATGCAGGAGGATCGGGTGCAGTGGCGTCAGTACTAGCTGGCCTTCGCTTCCTGCACGACCATTTGGGCCTTGATATTAGAACAAGGGATTCTTTGGTCAGCTCAGTGACGCTGGATGAAGAAGCCAAGCCGCTTAAACAAGCTGAGCCTTTGCAACTGCGAGATTTAGCTGTGCTAGAAGCTCTCATGGAGTCCCCCAACGATGTGCTGTCGTTTCTTTGCTGTGCCGCTCTGGCGTTGACGTACGGGGGAGTACGTTTCAGGCACCTGCAGCGCAGCAAGCCGTCTCACTCAGTTAAAGAAGGCGTGGTTTTCACTTGCCACCAAGGCAAAACACGCAAGAACGGACGGCCAGCTGCTCCTTTCCAATGGTTCTTGCCGCAGCACGGAGTCTGGAGACGCGATCTGGCAGATACTTTCTGTGAGAAGTGGCGCCAGCTGACAAGCCAAAGCGTCGGCTTTCTTGTTCCTTCTTTGTGGCCATACCGAACGACGCTTCAGAAAGCAAAAGGCTTCGTCCTCCTTCGCATGAATGTCAGCTCATGGAACAGAGTAATCAGGCAGCTGGTCAGCGTCGAGGTTGCAACTTGGCCAAGAAGAACCGGCGAAGAGCCGTCTTCCTACTCGCCTAGTCTAGGCGACTCCTGAGCACTGTGGCTGGCGCACTCGGCATGGATGATGAGCAGCGTCTCGCCTTAGGGTCTTGGCAAGTACCGGCGTCTGAGGCCGCTGCAGGCAGCAGAACCATGCCCCTGCGTTACAGCGGTTGGCGTCGCCCTGTTTCGGAAGCTAGATTTTCAGCGTAAGCGTCCGCTGCTTCGAGTTTGGACAGATGCCATGTTTCAGCCAGGCTCCCCAGTAGGCCTCGGGTGCATTGTAAGCGGAGGATGTTTAAGGCGACCGGTTGCGTTGTACGCTACTGTGCCAGATTCCCTCTTAAAGCAGTTGCTCCCCCGAGAAACTTTCATCAATCAGGCAGAGATTTTAGCTTTGCTGTTGGGGCCGAGTAACCTGCCGGAAGTATTTCAAGGTTCCGATGTGGTGTCTTTTGTTGATAACACGTCTGCCTTAGAAGGGGCCATTAGCGGGGTCAGTCCCGTGGAGGACAATGCGGCCCTGCTTGCGTGCTACCAGCTGCTGCTGGCCAAGCTTGATGCCCGTGCGTGGCATGAGTTCGTCGAAAGCAAAGCTAACTGTGCTGACGGTGTCTCACGTCAGGGTCGCCACGCACCCATCATCCAGCAGTTTCACATGGATTTTCGTGAAGTCTCTTTACCGGATTTCCCAAATTTGGCAGAAGCTCCGCTACACGCGTTGCTGAGTGCTTTTTCGCTAACGCCGGAGGCAATGTTTCAGTAGCAAAAGACCGGCAGTTCCTGAGCTGGCCACACCACTTACCACAGTTCCCTTTTACCAGCTCTGTAAACACGCGGCACTGTTATCACAATGGGTGGCGTGCTGGTCTCAATGGGATGGCACGCTACAGCAAACATCCGTGCAAGTGAGTCTTTCAGGATGTTAACTCATGTCCCGAAGTCAGGCTACTACTTGCGCGGTTGCTGGTCATCCCGGGAGGTCGTACGCTTTTGACCAACTGTAACATGTAAGCAGCCTCCCGACAAACCTGGCCTGCAAATGCTTGCAGCCAAAAGAGGAAATGGAAATGCTTGCGGGCAGCGTCTAAGCATAAGCATCACAGTATTTATGTACGCCGCTTTGCACGCATTGCATGTTTTGGTTGGCAGGATAGGTGACATGCTGTGTGCAAATGGACCCATTTTCGGCATCGCAGCCTTCGCATTTCAAATCAGATCCCGCCCACCCGCCCTGTCTCGAATTGACCTGTGGTCATGACTTTAAACGAGACAGTGGAGTGGATGAGCTACGGGTCACGAACCATCGGGATGGCATGCTACAGCAAACATCCGTGCAAGTGAGTCTTTCAGGATGTTAACTCATGTCCCGAAGTCAGGCTACTACTTGTGCGGTTGCTGGTCATCCCGGGAGGTCGTACGCTTTTGACCAACTGTAACATGTAAGCAGCCTCCCGACAAACCTGGCCTGCAAATGCTTGCAGCCAAAAGAGGAAATGGAAATGCTTGCGGGCAGCGTCTAAGCATAAGCATCACAGTATTTATGTACGCCGCTTTGCACGCATTGCATGTTTTGGTTGGCAGGATAGGTGACATGCTGTGTGCAAATGGACCCATTTTCGGCATCGCAGCCTTCGCATTTCAAATCAGATCCCGCCCACCCGCCCTGTCTCGAATTGACCTGTGGTCATGACTTTAAACGAGACAGTGGAGTGGATGAGCTACGGGTCACGAACCATCGGGATGGCATGCTACAGCAAACATCCGTGCAAGTGAGTCTTTCAGGATGTTAACTCATGTCCCGAAGTCAGGCTACTACTTGTGCGGTTGCTGGTCATCCCGGGAGGTCGTACGCTTTTGACCAACTGTAACATGTAAGCAGCCTCCCGACAAACCTGGCCTGCAAATGCTTGCAGCCAAAAGAGGAAATGGAAATGCTTGCGGGCAGCGTCTAAGCATAAGCATCACAGTATTTATGTGCGCCACTTTGCATACACCCCTAAACCCTGAAAGTGTCTTATTCTTTTGAAAAACAAGCAAAATTCCCAAAGGAGTACGAAAGAATGTCCTCAACCAAAAAACCTCAAAACCCCCTACACCCCTAAACCATAAACCCTAAACACCTTAACCCTAGACCCTGATAGTGTCTGTTTTTTTGACAAGCAAACCCTACCGTAGGGAGTACGAAAAACTGACTGTCCTAAATGTCGCCAACCCTCAACCTCAAAAAGCCCTAAACCCCTAAACCCAAAACCCTGACCATGAGTCGCACGATGTCACGATTGTTCCCTGCGAGTGATCCCAGAGGGGGTCTGCTAGGCGGGTGGCAAAAAAAGCACTTTAACCCTAAACCCTGATAGTGTTTTTTTAGCAAGCAAACCCTAAGGAGAACGAAAAACTTTCCTAAACCCTGAACCCCCAATCCCTAAACCCCTAAACAGCCCCTAAACCCTAAACACTTAAACTGTCTTTTTGAACCCTAAGGAGTACGAATAACCGTCCTAAACCCTGAACCCCAAGCGCTTGGCCCCTAAACAGCACCGAAACCCTGAGCCCCTAAACCCTAAACCCTACTTTTCTATGCGAGCAAACCCTAAGAAGTGCGAAAAACTGTCCGAAACCCATAACCCCAAGCCCTCAACCCTAAACCCTAAACGTGTCTCTTGTTCCTTCTCTTTTTTTGAAAAAGCACACCCGAAGAAATACGAAAAACTATCCTAAACCGAATGAGTGGGTCGAAATAAGGGAAAAATTTGCAACCAAATAAAGACACGGAAAACTATTGAACTGGACACCCATTATCCCGAAAGCACTCTGTGCGAAGATATCAACTGACACATATAGTTGGTTGTGTTGTCAGTGCGGTGATCGTGGTGCCGTGGTGTGGTGTAGTAGGCTAGAAGTAGATCGGTAGTGTAGTCTCAGTGCGGTGTCGACGGCAGAGAGGATCCCCGCAGAGGGTTCAACAGACCACTCAAGAATTCGCAAAAACGCACAGCGGGAGCGCTCCGACACGCACGATCCCTGCAGAGGGTGCACGGTTCAGTTCCAAAATGTGCGAAAACGCACAGCGGCAGCGCTCCGACACGCACGATCCCCGCAGAGGGTTCAACAGGCCACTCAAGAATACGCAAAAACGCATAGCGGGAGCGCTCCGACACGCACGATCCCCGCAGAGGGTGCACGGTTCAGTTCCAAAATGTGCGAAAACGCACGGCAGGAGCGCTCCGACACGCACGATCCCCGCAGAGGGTGCACGGTTCAGTTCCAAAATGTGCGAAAACGCACGGCGGGAGCGCTCCGGCACGCACGATCCCCGCAGAGGGTGCACGCGTAAGATCCAAAATGTGCGAAAACGCACAGCGGGAGCGCTCCGACACGCACGATCCCCGCAGAGGGGTGCATCGCGCTAGCCGCGGCAAAACCCTCCCCAGCCGAAGAAATCAGAGAGAATTTAATGGACAGCGTACAGAAGCAATGCAGCTGAGATAGTCCTGTGGTGATGGTAGTGCGGTGGTGGTAGTGTGGTGGTGGTAGTGTAGTGATGGAAGTGTGGTGGCGGTAGTGTGGTGGTGGTAGCGTAGTGATTAGTGTGGTGATGGTAGTGTGGTGGTGGTGGGCTGGTGTGCTTGGGCGAACGTTTTTTCTCAGAAGAACCCTTCGCTGAAGTTTTCGGGAAAAAAGACAACCATTTTCAGAACCCCCAAAAAACAAACACTAAAAAACGTAGGAAAACATTACAGAAACCAAGTCCAAAACAAAGGAGAGAACGCAGCACCGCTGGAGTCTTAACACAGCGTTTTTTTCGACACGCGGGGTGTCGAAAAGGCATTCATGTTAAGACTCGAGCGCGCATCCCATGTGATTTGAGGTGGGATGGATGACAGAAGTGACAGGGTCCGCTGACAAGAAATCTTGTTTTTGATATGGATATGCCTCCTGAGCGCCTGTTGACCAAGTGCCCAAAGCCAAACTCATCAATGCAGGCACAGAATCGAAGTTTCCTTTCAGAAGCACATGCCGCATTGACCATGTTCAAGGCATTCTGCCTTCTGGCTGCATGTAAATTGTGATGTTAAGGATGGATGATGACCAGTGCGTCACGACCTGTTCCAAGTCCGAGCATTCCCGGGGTCCCTATCTTGTGCGTGGAGAAACTGCAACGTTGATGAGCTGCTTGACCAGTTTAATCGGAAAGGAGCTTCTTCCCTGCGCTTCTGTATTTTGCCGGATTCCACTAAGCGGCATGGAAGAGGTTGTGGCTTGGCAGCACCTTCAGTTCTCATCGCGTGACTGATTTGCCTTGAGGCTTGCAGCTGCAGCTCCAAACTGACTTCTTCATCAGCACCAGCTGCGTTGAGCCGGTGGAGATCGGCGAGACACGTGTCGTCCCCTGGGTAGACGACAAGGATGTGCGTCCACAAAAACAGCTCCATCACTTCGCAACGAAATCGAATTTCGCGTTTACCTAGCGCACGTGAATTTCGTGCTTATGTGTGCAGGACCCAGTCCATGAGTCTTTCATCGCGGTTTATGTGGAGCCAGTCTTCGAGTCCATGCTCCGCCAAGCTAGTCAGGTGGCAAAGCTGTGTGCCGGTCGCCTGCCAGCTGACGCTCATCCAAAGTGCCTCTGTCAGCTCCATGACAATGAGTTGCATGCGGATGTTACGGCCCTTTGCCCGCAGTGTTGTAGTGTTTTGTTGCGGGATTCATGTTTGCCGTGAGTGAACCACTCACTGCGGTTGCACACTGAGGGGGTAATGACATGGCATGTGAGGGAAACTGGCAAGGTGCTGGAACGCCTAGCATCTGTACTTCCACAGTCGGCGTCCAACAGCATCAGGCACCTGCAGGTGAGGGTGGAGGAGCAGTGCCCGCACCCATGGATTCTGGGTGTGGCTGCAGGGGCAGTAGTTTGCTTGTCCTTCGTAGTGCTGCTCACCCTGCTGGAGCCTCTCAGGGCCTCTGCAGGCCGCCACGAAGCCATAGCCGCAAGGTCTTGGCCGGAGGGCGTGTTTGTGGTAAAGTCGCCGCTCGCGAATTTTGCCTCCGGGTTCGGATGGTCCGCAGGATTCACCATGTCCGTCCTGACATTGCAGACAGTGGCACTGCTCCTTGTCGAGAAGTCATCAGAGGAGTCTGAGGCCTCCGAGATTCAGATCTGGTTCCTCATCATTTTTCCATCCATTCTAGATGCTTGGACTGCAATCCTGCTTCATATGTGAGATTGACACGTTACATGGGAGCACCCCTGTGCTCATGAGTCATGTCGTGCTCTATGCCAGTTGAGTCAGGTCTTAATTGGGAACTACCGTTTGCTAAACCTCTTTGCGAAAAAGCAGCTGGAACATGCTTACTTGCAGCATGGAATGCTCTTGACAGAGCCTGACACCTCATTCGTCATGGACGTGCTTATCTGTGCTGGTCTTGCTATATTTGCGCTGGGAATTCTTCATCGTGCATCTAGCTGGCAAGTCCTTGTGGCTGTGGTTACGGCGCTCGCTGGTCCTGTGTGGGCTGTGGCCAAGGCTTCTCTGAATGCAAACGAGCTCGAAGTTCAGCTGCAGCATGTTCAAGCCTACCGCCAGCAGTACGGTAACGCCAAAGCCGGCATGCCTGACGCACAGCTTCTGCCCTGGAATTTTGTTGTCACAGCCAGCCGAGCTGGCCATGATTGCTTGGAGTTGGCACATGAGTTACATTCTCGAAATGCCGAGGGAACTCATACTGTTGCAGGCAGGTTCCAACTGGCGCTGGATGTTGCCTGGTACCGGCGCACCATGCTCCGACTTACTGGCTCGCGCGTGGGCTTCTGCAGCTTGCCTGCGTTTGCCATGGTGGCCAGCCTCTTTCTGGCCATCACCAGCCTGCAGGCTGCCCGGTTCGCTTGCTCCACAGGACGGCTTTCCAACATAGAGCTGGACAGTGAATTGCACGTTTTTGATTTCCGGCCATACCAACACCACTACACCTTCTACATGGACATGAGCTTCAAACAAGTGGCCTCTTGGTCTGTTCTCGGACTAGTTTCACATTCGCCTGTGATGTGACTCCAGTCTGGAAAACCTGCAAATGAAACCAAGACTCAAGGCACAGGTACCCCCCCAAACTTCCCCGCGAACCTGCAACGAGTTGAAAAGCTCCTAAGGCTGCGACTGCCTTTGCCGATGCGCCATCCACGCAGTGGATTTCCTTCCAGCAACCTGAAGGCAAGGCAGGTGCCGTCCAACCAATTCAGGAATACCTGAAGGATGACAAGGGCACCGCCCTCGCTGATATCCAGCTTGCTGGTGCTTTCTCCCCTCGCGTGGCCACGATCCAGGTCCAGGGCCTGCGCCCTTCCCTGCCTCCAACGGTTTACTTTGTGCGCTTTGCGTCGCTCAGGACAACTGGAACTGGGCTGTGCGTGTGAGAGACAATTGGCATTCCTCACGGAGCTTTAGTCAGTGCAGTTCAACGAGTGGAACATATGGAGATCCTGCTAGAAGCACTTCATGGGAGAATGTCCATGTTCTTGTTGTTGTGCTGGGTGTTGTACTTTGTTGTCCTGAATGGTGAATGCAAGAGTCCCTTGAAACGGGTTTGCTGAGCGGCATTTTCCCGCTTGTTGATGAATGTTGTGCTCGCTTTAACACCCAAAGACAAGACCCCGAAGTGAGTTCCTGCTGCAGTACTTTTCAACACGCACCCAAAGAAAAAATGGGTTCGAAATGGAGAATGTATCCATTGTTTTCGCAGCCGCCGCAGCAGCCGCTGACGCAGCAGCCGCTGACGCAGCAGCCGCTGACGCAGCAGCAGCTGACGCAGCAGCAGCAGCAGCAGCAGCAGCAGCAGCAGCAGCAGCAGCGGCAGCGGCAGCGGCAGCGGCAGCGGCAGCGGCAGCGGCAGCAGCGGCATTAGCGGCATTAGCGGCAGCGGCAGCGGCAGCGGCAGCAGCAGCAGCAACAGCAGCAGCAGTCGCCGTCGCCGTCGCCGTCGCCGTCGCCGTCGCCGTCGCCGTCGCCGTCGCCGTCGCCGTCGCCGTCGCCGCCGCCGCCGTCGTCGTCGTCATAGTGGTAGTGGTAGTGGTAGTGGTAGTGGTAGTGGTAGTGGTAGTGGTAGTGGTAGTGGTAGTGGTAGTGGTAGTGGTAGTGGTAGTGGTAGTGGTAGGGGTAGTGGTAGTGGTAGTGGTAGTGGTAGTGGTAGTGGTAGTGGTAGTGGTAGTGGTAGTGGTAGTGGTAGTGGTAGTGGTAGTGGTAGTGGTAGTGGTAGTGGTAGTGGTAGTGGTAGTGGTAGTGGTAGTGGTAGTGGTAGTGGCCGTGTAGTAGTAGTAGTAGTAGTAGTAGTAGTAGTAGTAGTAGTAGTAGTAGTAGTAGTAGTAGTAGTAGTAGTAGTAGTAGTAGTAGTAGTAGTAGTAGTAGTAGTAGTAGTAGTAGTATCTAGAAGCTCGAAAATGCGCTTTTGCGTGCAGCATCTTTACGTTGGAGTTGCATTCGGTACTCCGTGGTAGTCTTCTCTACCATGTTTTGAGGGGCTGTCTTTAGCATGAATAGAGTCTGATACTATACCTTCCAAAGACCCTTCATGACGCCGTTTCCATGGTACCTCCAAAGCCCTTCCATCATAATTACACCCCAAATTCTCCCACTGTTGTGCCTAAACGCCCAAAGTTCCTCCATTTATACCGTACCCGGATGGGGGTTAGGTTAAGAGCGCAGCCTACCGGGGAGCACTGGCGCTGCAATTCGCAGAGTCCGTGGCAGATTGCTTCAAGCTTTGGTGAAATGTGCAGAAACCCGCCGATTCAGATGCAAGAGCCTTTTGTGGGGGTTGTAGAGGAAGGGACGGAGGAGCCTGCACAACCAAAAAAATACCTGGAGGCGGAGGGCAGTTTAGGACGCCCAGGAAGCGGTATAGTCACCGCATTGAAAAAGGAATCGGAGTATTAAACCCTCTCCCGCCCCCCCAACATTTTTTCTTCAACCCGGGGGGCTGGGAGCAAAGGTTGGGACTTGGAATCTTCTTTGGTGTGCTGTTTTGTGTTGCATCAGAAACCCGGCCCTGCACAACCTACCACCATCGCCGACCTTTTGGCTGGATGAATCGAAGCATTCGCCAACTCAACTTCTTGGCAACAGCGGAAACCTCTGATTGACGAAGATTGCCTATGGCTGTGATATTTGATGTACCGGTGTGACAGGTACGATAGGGCAACTTGATACACGAGTCGAAGAAATTATCCTGCAAGGGGGCGCTTCGGAAGGCACTGCATGTTTTGAGTCGCGAGTGACCATGCACAATCAGGCAGGGTGAGAGGGCATGCGGTGCAACATAATTACAAGAGTGAGACGGTGCCCTACACCAGCCTGAGAGGGTACAATATACCAGGGTGAGAGGGTAAAATACACAGGGTGAGGGTATAACATAGCAGGGTGCGAGGGTATAATTTCCTGTAAAGATAACGTGTTAGAGCCGACCCGCAAGGTATTCATTTATGAACTTGATTATGCACCCTGGAAGTCTACACTGTTTGGTGCAGACGCCAGCATATCAAGGCTCACACATGTGGTGAAAACGTCTACCATTCCAAGACAAGCGACATTCATTCAGCGCGCGAAATGTTGCGTTGAAGCTTCACATTTGGCGGCGGCGCGATTCCTGAGTTACTGCGGGAAATTTCACTCAAAATCAGGCAGTACATTCGTAGTACCTTAACATTCTCACGCAAACAGCTGCGGTGGCAATTGTGAGGACAGTGCCACTGTCGGTGCAATTCAGCTCGGCGAACTTCAGAAGACTGGTGGCATTTTCAACGTTGCCATCCACAGTGCTGAGTTTGCCTCCAGGTGGGTGTTGCAAATCTTTGCAAGGCTGCTGCTGCTTTCGCAGTCTCGACTGAGCATCCACGGGCGCCCTTAAAGAATAGTTGTGGCATGTGCGTGGCTCGGGTTTGGCTCTGGTTGTCTGGACTTTGGCCGCACGAGCCATCTTTCTGCACAGGGTTCGAGTGTCCCGACAAGACGATGCGACTGCAGTCAACGATCGTAGGGGCTCTGATAATTCCTACCTAATCAGAATACAAGCTGCCCCAAAACGCTATTCTAATCTCTGATTGTTTACGCCCCGGTACAAACCTCCATGCCAGAGACCTGGCTTGGGCTTTTTCTGATTTCAGAGTGCCACTTTAGGCTCTAGCACTCTCTAAGAACATGTCAAGATATTGGCAGCCGTCTTCGGGGTCTATGGGACTCTTAGACAAGAGTTCCTTAAACCGGAACATGTAAAGTTGGGTAAGACTTCCCCGAAACCCTAAACCCTAAACCGTGCGGAGTGTTTGGGGATGACATACAAAGTACAGCCAAAGAGAGAAGTCTTCTTGCAAGTCTGGTCACTTCCCATAAAGCAAGGGGCCTGAATACTGGAATAGGGTTTTAGTTCTCTTGGGGTACGTTATCTTCTGGTTAAATGGCTGATGGGGCCATGCGCTAGCTTGCTTTCCCACGCCTGTCCCATGCAACCCCATATCTGCCGCAGGAGTCGACAGATTCGACTTAGAGGTGACGCTGACCGACGTCTTCGTAGGCCTCCCATTAGCCCCTTCTACACATCTACCTGACAACATCCTGTCCTGGACGCTGTTTACAAGCGAGATAAATTCGGACGAGCAAGCCTGTCGGACAAAGTGCAGCTACATGGTGGATTGCCTAGCAAGCTTCGTTCACCGGGCTGGCTGCTTCTACTCAATGCTGAACTACTCAATGCTGAACGTCAAACACCTCGAAGTGCCAGCCGGGACAGGGTCTAGCTACTGTTGATGGAGGAAATCTTGCGCCGCTCAAAGCCCATAAGCCACTGTAATTCCTAGATGTAGGACTTAGGGTGGTGCAAGATTTCCTCCATCAACAGTATGCTCAGGAAACCCAAAGTGGGATGGGGCTTGAGACAGGGTACGTGCGCAGTTATTGGCACATGCTTGATTCTGATTGATGTGATGATTGAAGGAGACCTAGCGTCCAGGAAGGCAACAGAACGCTCCTCGGCCACCTTTCAGCAGCCATGTCGAAAAACATCGTCGTCAAAGAGAAGAACGGGCAACTGCACTTCACGGACATCTACCCCGAATGGCTGGGAAATTCTGCGAGCCTCTCGCTGGAGCTCATTCTGCAGGTTGGGGAGACGGAGTTCCGCTCCGATGTAGCTACCATCAATCTGCAGCGGGGGTCGTCCACACCTCGGGATGCCTTTGGCCTCCTTCTAGGCAAAACGGAGCCAGTTGACGGTGGCAAGCTGGTCGTCCTCTCGAAATGGGCCTTGGTCGACGACTTCGGCAACCTGCGTATTGTTGCGGAAACGTTCGACCCGAGTCAGTTTGAATCCTTGCAGCTGGTTGTGCTGCCGATTCTAGGAGATGCGGAGGACTCTTGGCACCTTCTGTTCCTTTTGCTTAGTTTCTAAATGTGGTGTGATAGACGTGGCTTTTGCGTGTGTGGTGCTGCCAATGTGATAAAAAGACACACCAGATGCCGAGGCCTTCTATGTTCACTGGATGGCTCCGGTGGAACTGGCCACCAGCGAGCAACTGGAAATCCTGCAAAAACGCGGGCGATGCTCTGAGAGTTCTTCGGTGCGCAACTCGTATACGCTGTGTGGTTTCGGTGGCCGCATTCACAGTAAACCCGCTGCCGTCAATGTCTCGCCTTGGACGGGCAAACTACAGGAGGGCTCGGATTTACGATTCATCGTAAGGGCGCGCAGCCACCACAGTGAATGGTTTCCAGAGCCACATTTCCACCAAGTCTATCTTGACTTCCAAGGTGTGGACAGCCCAGTTGCCTGGGCTGCCCAAAAGCATGGATGCCAACTTCTGAAGAATACACGGATAACACACATCGTGGCGGCCTCGGCCGATGCAACATGTTATTTGCTGCAGTTACACTGCGGCGCCCAGCTGTGCGAACTCATCTCAAGAGAAGGGCTAGCTGGAGCTACCGTCTGGTCCATCCACGGGAAGGTGTATACGGGACCTCTCCTAACTCCAGACGCCATGGTGTCTGTTCTGTCATGTCTTTACGAGTATGGAGTGTGCGGCCTTGCCTTGAAGTGGGCATACGACGCAACCTCCCGAGAGCTTCACCTGAAGCAGCACGGGGCTAGGATCCCCCTTGCAACGCTGATGGAGAGGATGGCCCAAGTTGGGCCCAGCAGTGTAGAACTTCTGCATCGAATGCACAGCGGCATGGACCAACAATCAGTATTTCAGGAGGCCTGTGCAACTGCAATTTGGCAGCTGAAATATGAGCCACCCACATTTCTCCTCAGGGCCCTTGCCCAACTGTCGTTCAACATGCCACAGTTACTCTTGCAGTCTTTGGTAGCATCCAGTACTTTCGACGGCTTCGGCCAAATGAGCAGAAAGGCTGAACATGCATTGCACGAAGCTTTTGGAAACGTGACATCTCTCCATGTGGAGCTGCAGGATGCTTCGCAGCTGAGCCAGGTAGCAAGAGCCCTGGAGTATTGCCCTGGTGTGGAAGCAGTCCTCCTATCATGTGCCAAATGCTCCGTGATTGCTCGGGAACCGCGGCCAGAAGACTGGCAGGCTTTCTTTCATCACGCTCACGGCTTGCGCAGGCTTGGCCTGTTCCATTTTGTCCTGCGCATGACAGATTCGAGTCTTCGGCAGGCCCTGGAGACAGCCTTGCGCAGGTTTGAGCACCTGACGGAGTTCAAGGCTGTTGGCCTGGTCATCGGCCCGGATGCAATGCCACTTACCAGCGGTTTGGCGCACTGCAGCGAACTGCGGGGTCTTGATTTCTCGCATCAAGATCTGGAGCAAGCAAGAATGCTTCTGCACGGCTTAATTGCTTTCCCACCAAAGAGCGTTACACATTTCACCTTCGATGGAAACAATGTGGGTCCAGATCATGGTCGGCTTCTGATTGACTTGCTGCTCCAGCTCCCTCGGCTAAAGAAGCTGGCAATCACAAATAACAACCTGGGAGATGCCATCGGCAAGCAGCTGCCAGACATCCTCCGCAACCTGAGTCTTTCACGAGCATTTATAGTGCAGAAGAACAACTTCAGCAAGGGCACCGAACTTGCAATAGCGAAATCGTGCTCGGCTTGCGCGTAGCGCTTCATCCCCTGCCGGAGACTGCAGCTCGATGCGAACCAAATGACCACTCAGCAGAGATGTCATAGGAGATGCCATGCTAATGGCGGATTTTCCGGTCTCTGCCGAATGAGAAGAGTAGATGTCAGCCTACGGCATGATGTAGCTTCGTGCATTCCATGGACGGTGTTTCCAAATCAGAAAGCAATCCTGCCCAGGTCATCACGAACACCATTGCTGACTAGATGCCCAAAACAGTGCAAGAAAGGCTTCGGGTGTAGGGTTTAAGTAGAACAGGGTTTTGTGAGAGGACTCGTTAATGCGGTATTAGGATTTAGTACCGCCGCATGTAGGGTACAGGGTGATTTGCATAGGATCTCTCAAGAGACTTACTACAACTGAGGCCTCCATCTTAACACCACAGCTCGACCACAAACCGCTCCGTCGTCGTGCAGGCAGATGGTTTCACTGGCAGCTTCCAGGCTCTCTGAAGACGGAGGCAGTCAGGTGGTAGGGGGTCTAGAATGAACAACTTTGTGGAACTAAGGGCTCGGGGCGCTCGAACTCAATATAGGATTCTGATTGAAGAACTGACGGTTTGAGTGCCTGCGAGTCCAGAACCCTAAGCCCCTCGCCCTCAACCTTGCGTGCGGGGAAGCATTTAGAAGGGAGACGACGGTGGCAGTTTAGAGTTAGTTTAGGTCAAGGATGTTCAAGGTTTCGGGGGGTTCGTTCATGGTTGGGTGCTAGTTAAGGTCGTTTGGTGGAGGGTCTAGGGATAAGTTCGGGGTCCGAACTTCAGCTTTACTCACACGGATCCTTGGAGGGGCGCAAGGTTGCACACCCTAAGCCCTGAAGCCTACACCCCAAACTCTAAATCGTGTAAGGCTCCTACGGCTTGCACTACTTGCTCTGGATTGCCTTCAGCATCACCGAGGAGTTTGAAGTTGTGAGAGGCGATTCAGCTTGAGCGGCTAAGGGTTCTGGGTTTTCGGGCTGGTTGGTTTTAGGGCTCCAGGGCTTTCAGGTTCAGAGCCCTCGACGAGCTTGTAAAGGTAAAGCAGCACTCCTTCCTGTGCTGTCAACGCGCGTCTTGTACGAAAGCAGCTTCACGGACAACAGGGAAGCTTGAATAACTGGACTCTAGAGCTTTTGTATGGGGACACCAACCCCCTGAAACCCTGTCCTGGAAGTATCCGGACTTCCAGACGACTTGGAGCCATGGAAACAGCAATCGCAGCACAAGGGGTGGGAACCCAGACGTCGAAATTGCTGAGCATCCAAGCCAGCATATAAAAACAAACAAATATAGATAGATAGATAGATATTTACACACACACACACACGCTTAAGGTTTACGTTTAGAGCTCAGGCTCTCTAAGCCTCCTCTTGTGGCAGCAAGCAGAACCGAAGGCAGCGCCGTGTCCCAGACGCTCATGCCGGACCCTCTGTCCATTGAACTTCCCTGGAGGCTGCGCAGACCAAAGGTGATACCATTGCTACTAGTAAGCTACTAGTCGTTGAAAGTAGGATCTCGGAGCGTAACTGTTGCCATACCCCAAGACGAACACATTTGACTGCTGTCGCCGCATTTGACTGTTGTCGCCGCCGGCTCGATCCGCTACTCTTATTCTTGAGTTTTTTAACGATTACTGTAGCACACCGGGCCGAAACGCATTGAACAGGCATTACGCCCTAGACCCCAAAACCTAAACCTTCTGCCCTAAGCCCTACGCTTCAAGTGAGGGTTCATGGTTTTGAGGGCCTGAACCCATTATTGAACAGGCATGACGCCCCAGACCTAAACCCTAAACCTTAAGCCCTAAACCCTATGCTTCAACTTGAGAAGAAACTTCAGACAGTGTGGAGGAAGAAGCCTCCAACCGAAACGATGCCGCCTGCACCGACGGCTTAGAGCTATTTTGTCATTGTCCTAGGATATAGGCGCCTGGGGTTTAGGAGGTTAGGGGTTTCGGGGTTTACAAGTCAACAATTTGAAGCTTTTAGGTGTTTAGTGGTTAAGGCATTCATTTACACATGATGTGAACCTTGAATGCTAAACCCTAACATGATTGAACTTGAAGCCTGTCGACCTCTTTTTGCCGGGCCCACGAATCAGAAACTGATTGGCTTAAGGACCCATTTCCTCCAAAAATCTGGAGTTGGGTGTGGCACACTAATTGTAGTCCGTTGTAGATTATATAGTAGTAGCGATAGTACCCATGACCTTGGATGAAAAAGAGGCAAGCTTGCACGTGTGTAGGGCAATAGTTTCATAGACAAAGCCGACGGTCAAACTGTCGCGCGTTGGCGTCAGCTACGTCGCCCAAGGTCACAAAGAAACCGGTGCGGGATACTAAAGAAGGCACTGGCACACTATGGGCTACCCCAACTTCCAAACCGAGAACATGCACTTTGCACCTTTGTATATGCCACTACGCGTAAAGTGCAGCAGTTTGCACTTCTGAAGGCCTAATAAATAACAAGCCTTAATACCTTAAAACCCTTTAAAACAAAAACACACACACACACACACACACACAAAATAAAACTGAGAATAAATACGTAAAAAAGAAGCACTGCCGGGAGGCTGGAGCTCTCCACGTGCTGAGCCCTCAGAGCCCATGGACGCAGGAAAGGCATGGAATGTGCTCCAAGACTTTCAAGGGGGGGGGGGGGGGGTAGGTTTCGGGCTTCAAGAGTTTCGGGTGCATGCGTTGTGTTGTGTTGGCTTGCTTTTTTTGGGTGCTCTGAGCGGGGCTTAGGGGTGGGGGTGGGGGCATCGGGGAGAAGAGCAAAAGACCACCAGCAATCCTCTCCATCCTGCTGTTGATCTGGCAGGATGGGGGTGGTGGGGGGTGGGGAGAAGGGCACAAGTATGGTCGTGCTTTCTTGAAGCGTGGCGGTCATGGCAAGAAATGGATCAGCAGGTGATGCCAAAGCGCTGTTCCTGTGCTCATATCGAAGCCATGACCAGGGCGGGTGCAGGAAGAGCACGCTGAAGCGTTATGAAACTTTGGAGTACTTCAGCTTAGACGGCCGGCTCGGAGTTTCGTTGAATTGCGTGTCCTTCTTTTTGTGACTTCTCTTCTGCGGTTGTTCTCCGTGGTGAGCAGCGAAGAAGCAGTCTTGTAGAGCGTCTGCAAATCCTCGTGCGTGACAATATGTAAGCAGTCCCCACCGGAAACACCTCAAGAAGATGCGACCGTCTTGAGAAGCTCCTGCGCTTCTGTGTTGTTCCATTGCTGACTCCGCCTATGGCCATTGCTTCTATCTATCCGAAGCGTTTAAACTTCACTAAGCCACTAAGCCCCAAAATATGCTTCACTCAGATTTGGCACGGTAGCTGCTTGATCTTGGGCGCCGCACACTGAGTCTTCCCTCGGTGTCATTGCACTTGTTGTCTCGGCGTTTTCACGAGAACAACATGCAGATTTGTTTGCCTTCCTTTCATCGGGAGGCTTGAACGACCTGCAGCGCATGGATGCTGTTCCCTGAAAAGAAAACGGGCTTAGAGAGCAAGCAGAGCTTCCTCCCTTGGCGCCTCCAACTACCAAGCCAGGGCCGTAGGGTCGCACGCGACCCCAAAAGGAAGGACCCTTAGTGTTTGGTCTACATCAGGCGCAGGTATAGCAGCTGCTGAAATAGCGCAGGCTGAGGGTAAGTATTGCAGGTCAAGGCTGCAGGGCACAGCGTCATCTTTGTCTCTAAGCGCGTTTTGCCTCACCTGGGTCAGATCCCCACACTCTTGCTTCTCGGTGTGCCGTGTCCTTTTCTTCACCTCCAGAACTTCAAGATGAATTTGCCGAGATCCATTGGTCTTTCATCACTTGGCGGGATTACAAATTGCCTTGACAGCGAAGTTCCCGAACGCCCCCACGTGACCCTGAAAGCAGGTTGCTGTCAGCCCCAAAAAGCAGATCTTCACCTCGTCTCCTTGCTTCCGTGAGTTCCGTGAGTTCTGCAGGCTTTGGTGAGCTTCGAAGAAAGTCTCCTCATGCCAGGCCTTGGGCTCAAAAGAGCTCTTTTCCACCTCTTTTCCACCTCTTTTCCACCACCTCCTCACCTCCTTTCCTTCGCAGATTCGCGCAGAACACGCAATGGCTGAGGATCCCTCTCAGGTTCCTGAAGGCGGCTACCTCATCGTCTTGCAGAGCAACAAGACTTGCGCCAAAGCCTCGAAGCCCGTGTGCCCCCCGAACTTGCAGAAGCCCTCCGCTTTGGAGATCCCGGATCATGATTGGCAAACCTTCACGGAGAAGATGAAGGCCGCATGCGAGAAGACCTGGCACCCCTGGAAGCTTCCCTTGCTGCTCTTCCTTGCCTTCGTCTTGGGGGGAATCTTTCTGGCGCTCGTCCTTATGCTTGGGGTGGGGGCTAACCCCTGCCCCAGTTACCGTCGTTTCAGCTGCGCGCAAGATTCCAGCCTCTACGTCGCGTTTGTACCTGGCGGCGTCCTGATCCTGATTGGGTTCTGCAGCTACTGCATTCTTCCCCTGTACCTGAATGGAAAGAACCGGGAACACGACATGGAGATCCTTGCCGCGTGCGAGGAGCTGACCTCAAAGTGCGAAGGGAAGTACAAGGTGCGGTACTTGGCCAAGAACCTGGACCAAGTGATGGCAGAGGCACAAGCACATGCATGACCATTTCTGCAACTCCGGTTCTTCATGTCCTCCCCCGTTTTCTCTCCCGCAATCCCTTTCAAGTTCCAGCAGGACAAGCAGCTGCGCCTCATCAGCATCGGCCCGGCGGACCCTCAGGCGGACCCTGAGGCGGGGGCCTCAAGCCTCTCCAGCATCAAATTCCCTTAAAAGCCCCCCAAAGGGCCACAAGAATCCACACTGAAACCCTGAAACCCTCTAAACCCGATTTAAACCCTTGGAATCGGGAGGGGGGGGGGGGGGGGGGGGGGGGGGGGGGGGGAGCAGGTGTTTTTCTTCAATCTATTGTGAGAGCCGTACATCTTGCCGAACGGAACCTTTGACAAAGGCCCAGCAGCTGGGAAAGAGCGCGGAAGAAGGAGAGAACGCCGAGGCGGTTGCCTTAGACATGCGCTTGAAGTCGAGATTGGGGGGGGGAATCCCGATATCACTTGCGGCTGCAGAGGAAAGCCCGCCTCCCCTCCCATGTTTCGGCCCGCCCTGTTGTTTTTTGGGCAGCGCACACCCTGAAGTTGAGAGGCCTTCGTGGTGTAAGGTCAGGTAGGCTCGGGAGAAAGGGGTGGTCCTGAACCTGCCCTAAAGCCTAAAGCCTCAACCCTAAAGCCTAAAGCCTAAACCCTTAGGTCATTGTGGGCTCCGTGGTGGAAGACAACAACCACACTTGAGAGCTCATGGACTCATGGACTGAAGACTTGGGACTGCTCTGCGCAGCACTGCGCTGGGGCGGAACCCAATACATAAGTCTAGCTAACGTCCAGCTCAGGGTCTTCTTTTTTGGGGATCTTCTGCAAAGTGAACCCCGGAGATGACTTCGGAGCTTCAGATGCCTAGGCGAACAAGCCTGAGTCCAACAGCGTTACCGTCTCGGAAGTTGAGTTCTCCTGTGTGTGTTTCGTCAGAAGCTTTCGAAGTGCGAATCCAGGGCTCCACACGTTCCCGATGTTGCCATGTGCCGATGCCAAGCAGAAAGCCATTTAACACGGCCGTCGTTGGGCGGCCAGGTGAACCCAAGAGATTTGTCTCCCCAAATCTTCGGACATGATCCCACTCAAGAGAAACAAGCACTGTACCGGTACCATACCCAGAAATGCTTTGGGTTCCAAAATCTTTGACGGTGGCGTTGTCAGTCAACACGATGCTTGTGTCGAGCACCGGCTTCTCACGAAGAGCTTGGACAGGGCCGGCGGCAGCGCGCTGCTGGTCAGCACAAAGACTGCATTAACTAAGGCTACGGGCTGTTTTTTTGCAAAAGCAGGTTGTTTTATGGTTGCCAACACCCAAGTAGCGACCATGTTCCCCTGCGCGCCCTGTGTGTAAGCAAGAGAGTGGTGACCTGATAGCTTTGCGTTGCCTTTTGAGCAGTTCCGTTACACACTCGAAGCGCAGTGAAGAACCCAGGAACCTCCCCCCCAAAAAAATAAGGCACCTCCTTTTGCAACCTGTCATGAAAATCAAGTTTCGCGTGGTTTGATTCGAGAGGGGGTTGTGGGGCTGAAACCTTGGCCGCTGTCTGCTCTGGCTCGTCCAGGCTCATCCTCACTTCGCTTGGTGCATGTACATTTTCCGGCAAGCACCAATTGGTTTTGATCTCAGGATACGAAGCGCAAGACAGTGAGAAAAATGTGCATCTGCATAGGCTGGCTTACGTTACGTGCCCAGCTTCCCAGCGAGGTCCTTCTTCCATGGTTTCTGCTCGTTCTTCGGAGATGCCTCGACATCAGCCCAGATCGCACGAAGGGGATGTATTTTGATCACACGCCTCGGTAGGAATTTGCTTGCAGGGACCCGGACACGTTCGCCATGTAATGTGCAGCACAACTTTGGCATGTTTCGATCTGTGCAAGCAGCATTCTTCCTGTGGCCCAAGCGAGAAGGCTCCACGGGACCCGAATAGAGATGCCTGAAATCTTCAAATATTCGTTGTGTTCGAACACTTCTATCTTACTTCGAATCTTTCTGTGTATACAGTTTTTTCTTTAGTGCAACATGATACATATATATATATATATATAATTAGTATGTTTTTCGCATGGTAACATACATCGCTCCAGGCTCCCAGTGGATGTCGTAGTTGGTTCATGTCCAATCCTGTCATGGCGGAAATCTGCTCTGCCTGTACTTCCCTCTTCTGGAAGCTGAAAGCCCTGGCAGCTGCCCTTGGCTTTCCTGTGGCACCCCCGGCGCTGCGCAGGCGCAGTCACAGGCGCACAGGCCTTCTCGCATCCTTTGCGATGACCGCAGCCGCAGCTGCTTCTGCCCGTTTGCTCACGAAGTAAAGGGCACATCTCCGCGCCTGCCACGCGAAGCTGCTCGCACTCTTCCCTGGCTCGACACGATGGCAGAATGGCCCCGGAATAGAATACACCAGGCTTTGTGACCCTGTCAGCTCACAGTCGAAGATCACTTTTGCCCGAGCCCATCGCCTGGAGCGCTCCGCCTCCGCAGCACGATTTCGCGCTGTGCTGTGTGCTGCGCCTGGGCCTGTTCCGTGGCCCCGGGCCTGGGCATGGGCATGGGCTCCTTAGGAGCAGTTACTGTTTCAGCAGCGTCCTCACCCAAAAAGGCGTAATTCTTCACCAAGGATGTAGCAAAGCTCGAGTACGCGTGAAGGGCAGATCCGCATTGGCCCGCTCCGTGATCTGCCTCGCAGCTCCCCTCCCCAACGCCCAGCACCGGTTGCACCACCAGCATGCTCAGTATGCTTGCTTTATGGACTCGGCCCTAGTCCTGCACTGGATCTCTTGAGCCGCTGTTCACCTGTTTTCCGTACATGGTTTACCACTTTGCTCAACGCAACGGCTCTCACGGATTCTCAGACTCTCTAGCTGCCAGAGAGGGCTCGCCTGGCTTTTCCGCTTCAGAGCCCAACCCCTAGGACCGAGGGCCCTTCTTCCCCATACAGTCCGGAGTGACCCTTTTTTGTTCAGAGGTTGGTCTGGGACCTGGGCTCAAGTTCTCGTGGGAAGGGAAAGTCAGACGAAGCTAAGCCAATGCCGAGGCAGGCTCCACAGACTTGGGGACCTCTCGGCAATGGAGGGTAACCGCCAAACCCTAAGCCGCCGCCCAGGTTGCCGTGAGAGCTCTGCATTGCATCCCCAGCAAGGTGTCCAGTTTGGTTGAGTTGCTGAGGACCTTCCCAGCTGGACACCGCTGTGTCGGCACAGGGTCGCAGTGCCCAATAAAGAAATGGTAGAAAGGGTACAAGAGCGCGGCATCTTGGAGGCAAATGCTGAGAAAGCTTGCAAGCGAAAGATGCTAACATTCGTGTTCGCTAGCGGTGCCCGGGCTCACGATGGCCTTGCAGTGTTCAGGTTCTAGAGGCGTGAACCTGGGCGAAATGCAGCTTCGGCATCCGACGGAAGACTTGCTGCTCACTGGCTTTCCTTGTGCGCTGCTGCGAAGCCTGCTGTGCTCAGCTCTGCCATCCACCAGCGAGGCGGCGACGTGCTGCCAGTGCTGCTGTGTGGCCACAGCCTTGGTGCAACCTGTGCATTGAACGTGGCAGTGAGGTTGACCTCGTGTGGCTTGCACATCTGCGGCGTCGTGGGCATGGACCCGCGTTGCGGAGACGGTTTCTTGGCCCCATGGTGGCACTGCCAAGCCGTACGAGCAGCCCGGCAGCTTGTAGCGCGGACCACTACGACCTTCCCAGCTCCCACGCATGGGATCTCACCTGCTCCATCGCACGGGAGCTCCGCAACTGCCATCTCCAAGACCCTAAGCCCCGTATGGGGCTCCGTGGATCGAAACCTGCGCCAGCGCAAAACAGCAGCACGGTGCTCTCACGTGTTGTCCATATGCTGCCTCTTGCTACTGCCCTGCGGTCAGGTCTTTATCCAACGGTATGACATTCAGCAAGGGCGTAAGATGTTCATTTTAACATGGTGGCTGCTTCATACAGCTTTTCAACTCGAGGGTGAAGCTTGCGATCATCGTTTCATTGTAAAGAGAAATTTGGGCGGATAATTTATCTTACCTTCATTCAATTTGGGCACATGGCTCTCATGGAAACGTGGTAGCTCATTTCAAGATAAAACTCAATCTACCCAAAACATCCAGCAGACTCCCAAATGGGGTTGAGGAGACACTTAGACTTCAGCAGATCTCACTGTGTTACGCATTCTCGGCGCTGTCTCGCAGCCGTTTTTTTCTGCTTGCAAAAGCCGGCGTTTCCAGCGAATCCGACACCCTCTCAGCGTAGATTGAATGGTGGCCTCATCTTTCACTTCTACGATGCGAGCGGCGGTGTGCTGGACGAGTCTGGCAATGCTCCGCGAATGTGGAGCAACGTGCACGCCTTCCGGGAGCACGCTCTGCATGAAGGATTAGGTTGCAATAAACACAAGCTGCCCCGCTTTCCTCCCCCCCTCCCCCGCCCGTTATCAGCATCAGCAAGTGATCTCCATACCTGAATGCTACTCGCAGGTAAACATCTTCGCCGGGGAGGCCGGGTACTACGAGTTCGCTGGGTACACAGGCCCCTCCCCCGACATTGAGGTGCGCATTGGGCAGACCTACACGTTCGACCAGACGGACCCAAGCAATTGGTACCATGCGGTAGGCTTCGCTTACTACCCTGACGGAGCCCATGGGGAGACGTGGGGAGCTGACGAGCGCGATGAGGTCGAGGGCATGGGTGAGTTGCTGTACAAGATCAACGGCGCCGCAACGACTTGTCCAGATGCGGGCGACACGGGCTTGGATTGCTATGAGCCGGAGTTCTTCTACCCCCGCGGAGACTGGATGGCGAAGAACTACACAGCTGAGCTGACGATCACGCAGGCCATGGCAGATCGATCCCATGGCGGAGTGATCTACTACTTCTGCCACATCCACTCCAAGATGAGCGGCAGGATCATCATCAGGAACGCGGACGGCTCGAACGTGACTCAGGCGAACGGGCAGCCGCTGACAAGTCCGCAGGAGCTCAGCCTCGACTCCGTGCCCACCATGGATGCTTTTGATACAAAGTGCGGCACTACCGGTGCAAGTGCCTATGCGGATGGTGGTTGCTGAGTTGCACTGTAGGATGTTTTCTGCTCTTCTGCTTTCGTATACAACAGCGATGCTTGTAGAGGAGTCTGCTCAAGTCAGCCCAGGACTGGGTTGCCGTTGAGGGATGTAAATGAAGTTACTATAGCAATACAACCCAATGAAACATTACATGCCCCCAGTATACTATGTAACTTACTTTAAGTCCCTTAACAGCCACCTAAACTAGACCCTGAACCTTATAAACCCTGCATACCCCCTACTAAATCCCTTAGCAAGAGCCCAGATGAGGTCAGATGGAGTGCGCGACGAAATTCTTACCCGGGACTCACGACACAGACTTTGAGGAGTGCATGCAGGCAATCGATTGCATGATGAACAAGGACCTCAGGGGAAAACCACGTAAACAGAACAAATTGAGGCTTAGGGTTTAACTAGGGCTTAGGGATAAGGATCCCCAAGATACGGTTTTGTAGACTCCCCGTGGTAGGGGCCCTTATACCCAAATACTAGGATCCTTATGCCTACGTGCTTTGTTCGGGGCCCCCTAAAAGGAGATGCGCGTCGTGGGCTTTGACAGCCACCAGAGTCCCATTGTCACGTTCATGCAGCAGATGATTCCTCACCATGCGAACGCCGTGAACATGGCCAAGATTGTACTGAAGCATGCCCCGGCCGAGGTCTTACTGTTGGGTAGCAGGGATTGAGGGCATTAGGGCCCTGTATATACCCTTTAAGGGATTCTATAGGGTACCTCACTGTACCCCATCTACGAACCAACGGTAAGAGGTGGCTGCCGTGGAGGACTTGGAGGACATCATGTGGAGCATGGTCAACACCCAAAACTTCCAGATCCATGCAATGCGCAACTACCTCGCGAGCCATACCAGCTATGGCCAAACGACTCATGACGGGGTCCCCTTGATGGCCACCTCTGTGGGTGAGCACTGCGACTCCACCCTTGATGTGGATGTGGTGATCGCGCCGCAGTCTCCGAGCTCCAGCCCAACGGCAGCTGTGACAGGCTGCACGCCCTCGGAAACCATGCTTTGCATGAAGGCAGGAGTCCTGGATGGGCCCTAACAGTCGTTCTTTAGTGGAATCGACTCATCTGTAGCGAAGCAGGGCAATCTTTGCACACTGTAGCACTGCACTCCGGCAAGCCTCCCAAGCAAGTTCCGAAGGCGGACCTTTAGTCCATGTGCTGCCCTTATTAGGTGAACCTGCTCGCCGGGGAGACCGGGTACTACGAGTTCGCTGGGTACACAGGCCCCTCCCCCGACATTGAGGTGCGCATTGGGCAGACCTACACGTTCGACCAGACGGACCCAAGCAATTGGTACCATGCGGTAGGCTTCGCTTACTACCCTGACGGAGCCCATGGGGAGACGTGGGGAGCTGACGAGCGCGATGAGGTCGAGGGCATGGGTGAGTTGCTGTACAAGATCAACGGCGCCGCAACGACTTGTCCAGATGCGGGCGACACGGGCTTGGATTGCTATGAGCCGGAGTTCTTCTACCCCCGCGGAGACTGGATAGCGAAGAACTACACAGCTGAGCTGACGATCACGCAGGCCATGGCAGATCGATCCCATGGCGGAGTGATCTACTACTTCTGCCACATCCACTCCAAGATGAGCGGCAGGATCATCATCAGGAACGCGGACGGGTCCAACGTGACTCAGGCGAACGGGCAGCCGCTGACAACTCCGCAGGAGCTGACGCTTCATTATTTTTGTATATAAATGTATAGATTTGTATATGCATGAATTAGCGTGTATACACAGGTGTACTGTATGGCATATGAAGGTATATACCGCTATACGCCCTACATTACCCTTGTACAGGGGTGTATAGGGGTAGTGTAGGGTAGATACAGGGGTGTATAGGGGGTAGTCTAGGGTATATGGGTGTATAGGGGTACTGCAGCGTATACAGCGGTAACCTTTGGTGGTGTGCGACGAGCAGCACCGCACAAGTGGCCCGAATCCCTTAATGAAATCCTTGTAGGCTCAGAACCCTGACCCCTTGCGTGAACTAGAATCTAGAAGGTTTCTGCCTAGTGGCGGTGTCATGTACCTAGTTGGGTCTTGAACTTTCTCCTTCCATGACATATGTCCCCATATACCCCTCTACACCCCTGTATACCCGAATTGTAAACGCTTGCGTAGAAGCGCCGATTCGGCAGCGCGGGTGGGAAGGGTCCCGAAACCTTCATCCCTGAACCCGAAACCGTCATCCCAACCCCCAAACCCTAAACCCTGAACAGCAGGAGCTGCCACTCTATGCCCCAGCAACGCTGAGCGGCGTGGACCAGGTTTCGGCCCCCGAAGCGTTGAAGGGGTCCCTCAAAGGTGAGGGTTTAGGGTTGAAGGTTATTTCGAGAAATACCCTTAACTTAAGGGTTTCGCTATTTGTAGTGGCTTCTGCCACCCAGTACCCAAAAGGGTGCCAAGAAAGACTTTCAACAAGCCTTAAGGGCTCTCATCAGTCCCCAACAAGCCCTGATATGGATATTCTCAATCTGACCCCTATGATTCCATAAAGGCACCCTTATACTTTTTCCTTTATATCACCCTTGAAGCCACAAAGCAGGCCTGTGGCACCTTCGATGTCGCGCCCTTTGCTGGCGGCGGCGCAAGGCAATGCAATGAGCGCTTCTTATGTGGAAATCTGGACACGACCTTTGAGAAGTGTATGCAAGCCATTGACTGCACCCGGGCAGCGTTGGGTTAAGGGTTTGGGGTTTAGGGCTCAGGGTTTGGGATGACTCTGGGTTTAGAACATGGGGTTGGGAAGGGCTGAGCTTGAAGAGGGATCTGGTTATGCGTCGGGAACACGTGAAGCTGGAGCAAGGCAAAATGAAGGAGGAGATGTTGAGCTACACCACTATGGACAGCCAGAACAAGGTCGCAGTGTTCCTGGGCTGCTTCTGGATTAAGCTCCCCAATTCCTGAAGATCTCAACCTGTAAGATAGAAGCTTCATTGCAGGGCACATCGCTTGTAGGCCTAAACCCTAAACCTTCATCCCCAAACCCAAAACATGTATTTCAGCCTGCAGCAGCTGAACGTTTTCTCTGGGGTCCAAAGCAGCTTTGGTTCTCAGATGTAAGAGCGCCCCTCATAGGTATATGTCTACTATACCCAGCATACCCAAATATACAGTAGACTACCCAACATACCCATGATGTTGACCCAGTTGTCCTCATGCGCTCTCGGGGAGGTTTCTTGTGGCCTGTGTGTGTCCAAGACCGCGCGAATCCACCCTCTACCTCCATATACCTTCACCTACCCTGAATAACCATATGTATATATATAGATATATATACATATACATACATACATACACCTGTAATATATACGGCGTTACTACGCCAGGTTTATGCAGCAAATGATCCCTCATCATGCCAACGCTGTGAACATGGCAAAGATTGTGCTTGCGCACGTGGATGCAGCGGCCATTGACTCCTGGACTTAGGGACGTCAGGGAAATTCCACGGTTCTGATTACAGGGCCCAAGGATCTTCTGCGTTTCTGGGGTCTTTGCAGCACGAGGATTTTTTGGGCATGGGCTTTCAAGTTAGGGAAAAGGCACACAGGACGTAGGCGACGAGCCCTGTTTGCCAAACTGCTGAAGGCGTGTTGTCTAATGCAGACGTTTTTGTCCACCTGGCAGCCCCCAACCATGACAATACCTTCCTCCTTCTGTTTCAGCCTTGCGACATACTGCCACAAAACATAAGCAGCAGCCCCCAGCCGTTAAACTGAAAAGCCTGGGATCCCAGGACTCGGCCATCGAAGAGGGCGGCTTCTCCGACATGTTGAGCGACATCATCAATGGGCAGAACTTTCAAATTCACCAGTTCCGGAACCATCTTGCCAGCATCCTACCTGGAGCTCTGGGGATGTTAGTTAGGGGCAGGCGGCTAAACCCTAAACCTAGGGTTGAGGGTTTGGGGTACAAGCCCAATGCAACCCTCAGTGGTATGCTTCAAGTCCCGTATGAGTAGGGTTTTAGGGACGCCCCGTTCAGAAGATTCTTCCAGACAATGAGGCATTGGAATGCTGCCCGCCACCACGATGACGACCACGACAACCACCACGACAGCGGTTGAAGAGTTCCCTACCAGTGGGCAGCAACGATTCTAGGATCCGGGTAACGTAGCGTTTGACTTACCTTTTTTGGTTAAAGGTGCAAGCACTGCTCATGAAGATGGCCAGAAAGAAACGAATTTGAAACAATCGCAGGGCGAAACAAAGTCCCCCCGCCATTCCAGTGATACGAACAACAAGTGAAGTGTAGCAGTTCCGGTCTTTTCAGATGCGCTTCCCCCTAAACCCTAAACCCTAAACCCTAAACCCTAAACCCTAAACCCTAAACCCTAAACCCTAAACCCTAAACCCTAAACCCTAAACCCTACACCCCAAACCCCAAACCCTAAACCCTAAACCCTGGGGACCCGAGGATGCCAAGTCTTCTCCGTGCTGTTCTTTATCATGGTCTGGCGGGCTGTGGGTCCCTGAGATTGGAAGCCACAACTCGAGGTTCCGACCGTTCTGGCGCACTTCATGGCCGGTTCTTAGTAATGAGGGGGCGGAAGAAGTGCTTACCGCATGTGATTTTAACTGGCTACGGGGTGTTGCTGTAGGAGCACTTCGCCGTGATAGTCTACTGAGAACCGGCATGCTTAGATCAGAGACAGCGGGCTTGAAGCCGCAGCCTCTGAAACAAGAAAAAACAGCTGAGCCCATACCCCTTCATACCCATTGTACGCCATGATGCCCAGTGTACCTCCATGTCCCCCAGCCCATTATGCCGAGCCCCATTACCAATGTTGGTATTTCCAACGATAGGGGTACCCCCTCATCAACCCCAAATAGAATAATTGAATCCCCTTTGAAGGGACCCCCAAAAAGGGCACCCCTATTTTCGGAAACCTGCACGTCCCCCCGAGATGCCCCCCCAAGTGTGCTGCATTCGTTCACGTCGCTACTTCCAGGTGACTTGCACTGGAAAGGTGACAGATCTGCGGCTGGAGGATGTCCCACATCTCCCCTCAATCCGGCACACGTGTTTCCCAGAAAACCCCAAGACCCCCTCAAGTTAGTAGTGCTCGCCTGAATCTATACACGCAACCCCAATGTGACATAGTTTTGTTCTGTCTTTAGTTAAGGCGCATATTCCCCCCCTACATACCCTTATGTAATTGATGACCCTGTATGGGGTATCGGGGCCCCTGGTGTTTCGGACTGAAAGTTGGCTGTGCAGCTGCGAGGGAATGGCTGACTTGCCACTGGTGCCCTACGTGCATCTCTTCTTGCCGGTTCTTCGTGGAATGAATGGCAGAAGTACTTGATGCATGTCGCCAGGAAGTAGGTTTCCTTGCTGGGAAAAAAATTGGGAATGACGGTGTGTATTGGGAATACTGGGTTTAATGGGTATACTGGGTATATTGGATGCCGCTGAGAACAGGCATGTTTCCGTACTGCCTTTGCTTGTGACTTGTAAGTCGTTGCGGCCCTGCTGGCAACGTACTGGCAGAACCGGCGTAGCTGGAGGTCGCAGCGTCTAGTATTCTTTTTCGTCGGAGCTATCTCTGCAAGACTTACATCGTTGCGGCTCTGCGGGCAATGGCAGAGCCGCGTTGAATTGTAAGTAGGTCACTGGATTTGTTAGAGTCCCTCATGCCTAGCGCAGATGCACATGAGAAGTGGGGTGCTCACCATCGATGCGCGTGAAAAGCAGGCATAAGCTGGAAGAAGCACTTGATGCCGCTAAACCGGGAACACCCCTCTGACAACCCTCTTACAACCCTCAAGGCATCCGAAAAGCCATCCAAAACCCTTCTTTAACCCTTCTGAAACCTTCCAATCCCATCTAAACCCTTCTCATCCCTTTCAAACCCTTCTCACGTACTCCTTGAAGCCTCATAGGTTGGAGAGGGTTTGGGGCTTAAGGCTTGGGGACTTCTTGGGCTTCTTGGGTTTGTTGGGTTTCTTGTGTTTCGGGGTTTCGACATCCCGCAAGGAGCGCTCGAAACCTTGCAAACTGGAAAACCCCCAATCGCCCGCGCCTCGCTGGATGGGCCCAGCAGGAGAGGACTTGCAGTGTATGAATCGCCGTGTACGCATTTTCCATGCTGGTATGCGGTGTTACGTCAGACTCGAAATCATGTATGAGCAATCTGCCTGCCATTTCTCGGCTCAGATATACTGTCGTTGGGTAGCTACAATCGACATTGCATGCCAGGTATGCCACATGCAAATGGGCTCGCAGATCTGATCTCATCATTCATTAGGTAAATTCCCATTAGTCCCGTCTGTCGATCGGCTTCTTCAGCCTGCAAATCCCTAGCAGTAGTAGTATGGCTGCTTCCTGTGATCCATGTCCTCACAGATCGACCAGGACAGCGATATGTCCTGACAGAGCCGCAGCGACGTACACCCGTAGACCTGACTGCAGCCGTGCGCAAACTCAGCGCACCGGTTTTTCATTCGGCGCCTTTAGATCTTGCACGCGTCCCGCAGTGCATCCGGATAAGCCTTTCCAGCGTTAAAGTCATATGCCCTGTTGCCCACCTTGCTGGAAGTGAAGCTTGGGCTGAGTAAGAGTCTGCCTAGTAAAGCCCAGGGTTCGCTTGGACACGAACCTCCGGTTTCTCACCAGCATTCCAAAGGCCTAAAGGACTCAGGCGTGTCTCCCTGCTTCCCGTCTTCACACTTTCACACTTGTGACTGAACACGCCTCCCAAGTGTCCTGAACAGTGAACCCCAGGTCTGGGGTAGTGTTCGGCGTTCCTGCGCCCAGAAAACCTGCCTAACATACCCCCACCACCGCCAGTAGGTGTAGGACAGTGGCCGGATGACTCCATGCAACGCCTCAAGCCTGTGTGCTTTTTGAGAACTTCGACAAAGCACACATCGCTGCCGAAAAAGCACTGGATGAGAGTAGAGAGACGGGGCCCGGGCTTCGACCGAGGGCCGGATGGCAGAGACTAAACCGCGGAGGCTCTTGAATTGCCGAGGCTTTTCCGGCCTGTGGTCCGACCTAACATCTGGTGTGGACCCTTCCGGGCTTCGCGTGACAAGAACTGTCTCGTGCAAGTTCATGAAGCAATCTGCCTGAATTCGGGGTACCGGACACCCTTGATTCCAGCCTGCTCATGTGCCTTGTTCAGGCTATGTACAACAAAAGCAGCCTCACTGTCAGGGTAGACATGCTGTGCCTGTTGGATCCTGTTGGCTTAATAAGTGGGCGCGACAGGTGCCACGGTGCCTTGAAAGGCCTCCAAAGTGCGGGCACCTCTCCTGTGTCTGTTGCGCATTGCGGGCCACGGACCCCAAGGCCGTTTATGTACATTTACGTAAAGTTATATGTCAGTATGTAGATGTGCACAACACAGGGGCAGCACGGGGGCACAGTTCGGCCCTTAGATCCTTGCCTGTCCCTGACGATTCCATGCGCAGATCCTGTTGGTGCCAAGAATTGCCTTTTGCAGTTGCAACGTCACCCCCGCTTAGGTACAGAGCGGGATGACATCTCGGCTTAAGCCCCGGCACGCAAGGCCACAGCCGGGGTGCAAGCAAAAAGGTCTGACAAGTAGGCTGGCGCAGGCAGGAGGTTTGCAGTGCACAATCTTAGCCAGTTCTGTATGCTTCTGAGCCAAGCGCCAATCATGGAGGATCAGCAGGCACTCCGGGCCGTTTGAAGCCCTGAGGGCCCTTCGAGGCCGCGTGCTTCCTGCGCAGGAAGGATTTTGTCCCCCAAGAGGGTTCCCCACTCCCCGCTCTCCAGTCCCCGCTCTCCGCTCCCCATCCTCCTCCTCTTCCACAGCTGTGTCTTTGGAAGGGGGGAGGGGGTAATTTCCAGCCTTATTCCAGCCTTATTTGAGCCTTAATGTCAGGACGAAATATGGCGGAAATTGGACAAAACTGAAGTTGTATGTCAATAAGTCATACGTACAGAGCGGGATGACATCTCGGCTTAAGCCCCGGCACGCAAGGCCACAGCCGGGGTGCAAGCAAAAAGGTCTGACAAGCAGGCTGGCGCAGGCAGGAGGTTTGCAGTGCACAATCTTAGCCAGTTCTGTATGCTTCTGAGCCAAGCGCCAATCATGGAGGATCAGCAGGCACTCCGGGCCGTTTGAGGCCTTGTGGACCCTTCCGGGCTTCGCGTGACAAGAACTGTCTCGTGCAAGTTCATGAAACAATCTGCCTGAATTCGGGGTACCGGACACCCTTGATTCCAGCCTGCTCATGTGCCTTGTTCAGGCTATGTACAACAAAAGCAGCCTCACTGTCAGGGTAGACATGCTGTGCCTGTTGGATCCTGTTGGCTTAATAAGTGGGCGCGACAGGTGCCACGGTGCCTTGAAAGGCCTCCAAAGTGCGGGCACCTCTCCTGTGTCTGTTGCGCATTGCGGGCCACGGACCCCAAGGCCGTTTATGTACATTTACGTAAAGTTATATGTCAGTATGTAGATGTGCACGTGCACAACACAGGGGCAGCACGGGGGCACAGTTCGGCCCTTAGATCCTTGCCTGTCCCTGACGATTCCATGCGCAGATCCTGTTGGTGCCAAGAATTGCCTTTTGCAGTTGCAACGTCACCCCCGCTTAGGTACAGAGCGGGATGACATCTCGGCTTAAGCCCCGGCACGCAAGGCCACAGCCGGGGTGCAAGCAAAAAGGTCTGACAAGTAGGCTGGCGCAGGCAGGAGGTTTGCAGTGCACAATCTTAGCCAGTTCTGTATGCTTCTGAGCCAAGCGCCAATCATGGAGGATCAGCAGGCACTCCGGGCCGTTTGAAGCCCTGAGGGCCCTTCGAGGCCGCGTGCTTCCTGCGCAGGAAGGATTTTGTCCCCCAAGAGGGTTCCCCACTCCCCGCTCTCCAGTCCCCGCTCTCCGCTCCCCATCCTCCTCCTCTTCCACAGCTGTGTCTTTGGAAGGGGGGAGGGGGTAATTTCCAGCCTTATTCCAGCCTTATTTGAGCCTTAATGTCAAGTGTCCAGGTGCCCAGCGTGCCCAGGCCGGTGATGCTGTCACTGCGCGTGGACACAGCGTCCAGGGAACTCAACGATGCGCAAGCGCGCCTTGTGCATCTGCAAACCCTTTGACTACCGCACACGCAGTCGGCTTTCCAAAACCCT